GCAGGCAAGAAAGCCAGTCAGTGAAAATGGAAAGGGGGGCATTATGGGGTGAGGGACAGGCTGGGGTGGGGGTTTGGGGGCAAAGGGGGATGTAGCAGCAAAGGTAAAAGTACAGAGATGCCTGGGGAGTTGGATTCATAGATGTTAGGGTCAGAAGGGATGTCAATAGATCATCGAGTCCTAACCCCTGCATAGGCAGGAAAGAGTGCTGGGTTCAGATGACCCCAGCCAGATGCCCATCCAACCTCCTTTTGAAAACCCCCAGGGTAGGGGAGAGCACCACCTCCCTTGGGAGCCCATTCCAGATTTTGGCCACATCCCTTTTGAAGTGTGGTGCCAACTGCGGTCTGACCAGTGTCCGATAGAGGGGAAGTCTCAGCAGGTTGCAGTGTGTCAGAATTCCACTGTCTAATCTATATTGAGTCCATGAGTTTCTGTACCTACTACCTGATACAGTTCATAGGCCCAGCTCTGATAAATGGTTTATAATTTCAAAGAAGCACCTAACCTTATCACCAGAACTGAAGCAACTTCCTACATCTCAAAACACAAAACCTGACAACTATCTCCGGTACCCCCACAAACTGCACACCAGAATCTATCAAACACAACAATACCTACCTGTGGGGGCACCTTTCTCACCAAAAAAACACTATGCCTCCAGTCTCTCAGGCCTGATCCTGACAGGGATCAAATTACCAATCACTTTTCACAGCCAGGCCTATGAACTTCACTTCATCAGTCTCCTAGGTACAGAAAATCTTGGACTCAATATAGATTAGACAGTGGAATTCTGATACACTGCAACCTGCTGGACATCTGACTCCCCAGGCACCTCTGTACTTTTACCATTGCTGCCACATCCCCCTTTGCCCCCGACTTCTGCACTGCCAGCAGTCACACCAGGCCTCCCTACCCTGGCATTTAGTGGTCATTCCCAGGACCTGGGGTCTCCTCCTTCCCTATAGCCCTATCCCATACCTCCAAGTTCATCCTGGCAAGGGAATAAGCTCAGTAGGGACATGTTCTTCCCCTGCTGGCTGGTGATACAGTTAGTGCTCCCTCAAGCTGAGAGCAGGGCATTACCTGGTTTGTAAAAAAATGAAAAAAGGAAATAGGTGTAGATGGAGTTAGGAGGGTGGCATTCAATCTGTCTGCACCTGGAGCTTGGGAAACTACAGCAGCAGGAGGTTCATCTTCAGGAACACTAGCTGCTCCACCAAACCAGCATCCAAGCAGGTGCAGTGGGGTGTCACTACATCCCCAGTGATGCAGAACACCCTCTTGCTTGGCACACTGGTTGGTGGACAGGACAGGCATTTCCGGGCAACTGTGGCCAGATCTGGCAACACTGGGCTGCGGCTTGCCCAGTAGGCATGGATTGCGTACTAGCATGAGACTGTGGAGCCCCCTGTTCCACGTCTCCTCGCCTCTGCTATTCTGCCTTCCTGACTACCAGCACCTCTGTCCACTGATTCAGTATTTGGTTTCTACATACAGTGCCCTTCATCCTTGGGTCACACATGGCTGCCAGCACATGGACCGTACTAGACCACAAGAGATTGAGCCATTTCCTGATGCCCTCCTTCAGCCACCTCACCAGTACCTGCATGTCTGGTGACAGCGGCCTGCCCCAGCCAGGAACATGGATCCCCTGGAAGCTTTCCATTTGGCTCTGAAGTTCCCTTACTATGGGGATCACCTGGCTAAGGAGGGCATCAGCAGAACTAAGGCTCTTGGTGGCCTCAAGGAAGGGCTTCAGGACCACCAAGATCTGGGAGATGGTATCCCACTCAGCTTTGTTCATGGGGCCACTGATCTTGATCTCCCCAAACAGGGCCATCTCATGGATGGCTTTCTGTTGCTCCACCAGCTTCTTGAGCATCAGGTTTGTGGAGTTCCACTGAGTCTCCACATCCTGCATGATTTTGTGCTGTGGGATGTTCAGTTCTGTTTGTTTGTTCCACAGCATCTTGCCCCCTTTGTGCTCCAGTTGAAGCAGCCTTCCACCTTACTCAATTGGAAATGAGCTTGCTGGTGGTGCTGGTGCCATCACTGGCAGCCCTGTCCCCTTCCAAGGCATCCCTGACAACAAGGTGCCACACAGCAGATGCCATCAAAGTTGGCATCATGTACTGCCTTGACCATATTGGCCCCATTGTCAGTGATGATGAAGCCATGAGTGAGCTCACCTTGCTCAGTGAGCCACACCTGCACCAGGCATTTCATGGCCCCCATGATCTCTGCTGCTGTGTGGGACTTATCCAGCACCTTGGCTTGAAGGAGAGCCCACTTATGGCCTGACTGGTCACACAAGTGCCCTGTGAGGGAGAGGTAGGCATGATCTCCACCCCGGCTGCTCCAGATGTCCAAGGTGAAGTGCAAGGCCACCTGAAGACCTGCCTTGTGCAGCTCATCCCTCAAGTACTCCATGCATGCTGCATACAGGGATGGCACCACCTTCCTACTGAAGGTGATGCATGTAGGCACTTGGTATGGTGGGACTGCAAGCACCATGAGCTGCCTGAACCCTGGCCACTCAATGAAAGAGAAGGGCTGGCCATCAACAGCAAGCATCTCCCCAGTGCTCTGGGTGAGCTTGCTTGGCCTTGCAATGCACCCCACTTTCTGTCTGCCTTTTCTCCACTGTTCCAGTGTGGCCTGCCTCTGCTTTGGGGAGACAGGAGCTTTGGAGTTCATGGGGGACTTCCCTTTGGGCATGCTCCCCCTGGTTCCAGGCTGAGGAGGAGCAAGAGCAAAGGGGTGGTGCCTGCAGAGATGCATCAGCATCCCTGTGGTGGTCGTATCTTTTGTTCCCTTGCCCCAGCTGGTTTTGGCTTGGCAGTGCAGGCAGATAACATACGTGGGATCATCTGCCAGCTCAAAATGATCCCAGAGCACACTACTTGCTCACTTCTGGGGTCCGGGTGCATCTATGGATGCTTCTGCACTTTCCCCCTCCTCAGCAGGCAGAGGCACAGCAAGAGAAGCAGACTCAGCTGAGCCACTTGCATCCACCTCTACATAAACCTCCTCCGAATTGCCTTCTGGGAAAGGAGACCTGACTTGAAGGGAAACTTGAGGGGTGTCAAGTACAAACTCAGTTGATTCCCCCTCCTTCCCCATAATTTCCCTTCTTAGGGCACTAAGATCCAGATCCAGTGCCAGCTCTTTTTCTGGCATTGGAAGGCTCAGCATGGAAAGTGACAAAGGGGTGGAGTGGGCTGCTATGCTGGTGCTCCTGGTTGTGGTTGTCATCATGGTGGGGGCAGAGAGGTTATGGATGCTGCATGCAGATGTGATGCAGTCTCAGGCACAGGCAGTGGCTGTGGCACTGCTACCCTCTCCTTGCTGCTTGTAGCAGCCTCGTTCCTTTTAGCTGGAGGAAAGAGGCTGTTTCAGTTTGGTGGTGGGGGGAATTTACAGCTCTCCCTTTACCCCCTCTTCCACCCCTCACTGAAGGCTGGCCAGTGTGGCCACCTGCCTTTCCTCCACTCTTCATGATGTGTTTCATGTCTTCTTTTTCAAGAAATATATAAATGTATTAGCGTTCCTATATAAACTGAAAACTGTAGGTGTGGTGCACTGACGAGATTTACAAACCCAATAGAAATATGTCCGTGTGTGTAGAAAAAGTCAAAGTGAGCTGACTTGCAGTAATAAGATTTATGAACCTGATACAAATATGTCTGTGTGTGTAGAAAAGTTCAAAGCAAGCTGAGATTTATGAACGCAATAGAAATATGTCTGTGCGTGTAGAAGAACTCAAGAGCGTGGGTGTGTTGGAAAGAATGAGCATATAAAAACAAATATATATAGTAAATTCCTATGTAGAGCAAATTCTATTGCAACCCTATGCAATATAAGTATAAGATTCAAAAGAATAAATCAATGAATATAATAATAAAATAAAAGCACCTACAAGAAGATGGTAATCTGAAATCATGCTTGCTAGGGTAGCAAGCATGGAATCCTTTAGACAATCAGTGCTCCTAGCTGTAGTGGTCTGACACAGAGCTGCTAGAACAGACAGCTCACTAAATGACCCCAAAGCAGAAAGCAGGGCAGTTCAAAAAATGCTGCCTTTTATGAAGGTTTTCTGTCCCTCCCCTAGAGCACTGGGGTTGGAAGGGACTTCAGACTTCAGCTACATATGTCAATAAAGAGGGCACTCCTTCACCCCCACACCTTTCCCCCTCCTTCCTCTCCCTCCCCTTACTTTACGTTCTGTTCCCCAGCAGGGAAACCATTCAAGGTAAGCCCAGCTTCAGTCAAAGATTGAAATGTTTTGACATGCCCTGTTTCGTTTTGACCCTGTTTCAAGTTTCATTTCAACTTTGCTGTTTTGAGGTTGAAATGGCTCGAAACAGAGTCGGAACAAAATGGGCGGTGAAATTTCGCACAACCCTACTTCATGTAAAGCACTATGGATTAGAGCAGGGGCTCTGAACATCCATCAGCACCCTTAGAATGTATGAATAAAGTGTGTCTAAAATAATCCACTACCTTTAATATAAAATGTAATTGATTTAAGGCTGTCAATGGATACACCCTAGACTGTTATATTTAATAGAATGGACCTGTCATCTATTAATTTGTCTAAACTATGCAACATATAAAAAAGAACTTCCTCTGGTTTGTTTTAACTGATTTACATTCTCTCTGGTGTCTTGTTAATGTTGTTCTATCCTCCATGTACCTAATTCAGTATAAATGAATGTTCTCAAAGAACAAGTTTCTCCACTCATTTGTACTCCTACTCTTATACATTATATATTTAAGACACATCTCCTCAAAATCTGGACATTTTTACCTTTCCTTCATCAGTTAGCAGGTAGAAAAAGAAATGTGATCTGAGTGTAGGAGTAGAGGCTGGAAGTTGCTGAGTTCTCATCCAGCTCTGCAAATGATTTCTTTTGTGATCCTGGAAGATTTGAGACACTGACAGAGATGACACACAAATGCTTATTTCCCCAGAACATTTTGCTTATAGGCATACCAGCTTCTTGGGTACCTTTAGTGACTGAAAATGAGATGGGAGTAAAATGAGGCTCTCCCTTCCTTCTGTTATATGCAGCTTTAATCTGTGGGGAACTGTGTGGTGATGTTGCCTGTCCTTATGTACTTCAGTTGCTGTGCATTGTTGACATATGCCCTTGGGTGTAGCACTCACAAAGCCTAAGCATAAGGATGGTGGGGGACTGCTATGCAAATGTCCAAATAGAATGAGGACTCTTTCTGCTTCTCCTTCTGTTTTCACACATGTGCAAAGCAAACCACAAAGTGACCTTAACTTATCTGTTACTCTACTCCCCTAGCCTTTTTATGGGGCAGACTACCTATGATCTCCTATGGGGAGGGCCTGACTAGGCAATGTCAGTCCTGTTCCAGAGGGTTCTAGGTGTTCTTACTGAGCATGGGCAGCCTTGGCACAATGGTGGGTTGCCTCTTCTTTTGTTTCTTGAATGCTGAGGGTGGTTTCAATGGCTGGGTTGTTGGTCCAGGTATTGGTTTTGAAGGTTCGGTCATTCAGAGGGAGCTATTTTTAGACGTACTGCCATTGTCTCTCAAGCACCCTCATTCATCCCCATTCATACTGGCTGACCTGCTCCACCAGGCTTTAAAATAAGCCCATCAGGGGATGGGGGGACTACCGCCACTGCTGGCCCACTGAGCAACCCTTGCAAAGCCAGTAGTCCAAGGCACTTAAGGGAGCCCACCCCTGCCCCAGCCCTGGTACAATCTGTGGGTAAGGCAAGAGCCCCCAAGGGGACACTCGCCTGTCTGTACACAAATGCCAGGAGCTTGGGGAATAAGCATGAGGAGCTCATCCTCTTGCTAAATGCACACAGCTATGATATCATTGGGATAATGGAGACCTGGTGGGACTCCACCCATGACTGGACCATAGATATACATGGCTATACCTTGTACAGGAGGGATCGAGTGGACAAAAGGGGTGGGGGCATAGTTTTCTATGTCAAGGAAAGCTACGCATCCCTGCAAGCTGACATTGGCACCCATGGTGGATGACTTGAGACCCTCTTGGTTAAAATCCCTGGCGAACACAGCACAGGGGATACTATGGTGGGGATGTACTACAGACCCCCTACCCAAATTCAACACCATGACCAGGAGTTCACCAGGGAATTGGCTGAGGCCACACAATCCCAGTGTGTGGTTGTCATGGAAGACTTTAACTACTCAGACATCTTATGGGAGGAACAGTCAGCCCAATCTGAGCGGTCACAAAGCTTTCTCTCATGTGTGGATGACCTCTATCTGATTCAGGAAGTCTACAGGCTGACAAGAGGAAAAGCACTGCTTGACCTCATACTGGCAACCAGGCATGACCTAATCAGCAACCTAACAATTGAAGGGAAGCTGGGTGACAGTGACCATGAGCTAATCACCTTCATAATCTGCTCTAAAGCTGGCAAGTCAGTCAGTAACACAGAAGTTCTCAACTTCAGGAAAGCTGACTTTGACAAGTTAAGGAGGCTTGTCAGAGAGGCCCTATAAGGCCACAACCCAATGGTGAGGGGAGTTCAGGACGAGTGGTTGCTCCTCAAGGGAGCAATCCTGGATGCACAAGCAAAGTCCATTCTGTCTCAGACAAAAGGCAGCAAAAGGGCACAGCAGACCCCTTGGCTCTCCAGGGAACTGGCGGACCTCCTACGTCTTAAAAGGAAGACCTACAACGGATGGTAGACTGGAACTGCCACCAAGGAGGAATACTCTGCTCTGGTCCAGACCTGCAGAGAGCAAATTAGGAAAGCCAAAACTGTGATGGAACTCCAGCTAGCTACAAACATCAAGGAAAATAAAAAGTCCTTTTTTAGATATGGGGGGAGCCAGAGGAAAAGCAAGGGCAACATTGGACTCCTGCTAAACCAGATGGGGCAACTGAAAACGGACACGCAGGAAAAAGTGAGCTTGCTAAATGGGTACTTTGCATCAGTTTTTCACCGGTCCCATGGGATGGCCCTGCTCACTTTGGGTCAGGGAGGCCCAGATAAGGGAGATTCCTTGCCCTCCATTGAAGCTGACCTCATGAAGGAACACCTTGACAGGCTGGATACCCTCTAGTCACAAGGCGCTGATGGGTTACACCCAAGGGTACTCAGGGAGCTGGCGAGCATCATAGCTCAGCCCCTGGCATGGACCTTTGAAAGCTCTTGGCACTCTGGTGAAGTGCCCAATGATTGAAAGAGTGCCAATGTCATGCCTATCTTCAAGAAAGGGAGGAAAATAGCTCTGGCAAACTACAGGCCCATCAGCCTGACCTTTATCCTGGGGAAGATCTTGGAAAAGATTATCAAAGAGGTCATCCTTAACAGACTAGCTGAAGGGAATATCCTGAGGGATACCCAGCATGGGTTGTTGCGGGTAGGTCTTGCCTGACCAATCTCATTTCCTTTTATGACCGGGTGACTTATCACCTGGACAAGGAGGAAGAGATAGATGTTGTATATCTTGACTTTAAAAAAGCCTTCTATCTGGTATCCCATGATCACCTCTTGGCTAAATTGGTTAACTGTGGCCTCGGCCTCACCATGATCTGCTGGCTGGGGAATTGGCTCTGTGGTAGGACCCAGAGGGTGGTGGTCGATGGGAGCCAATCGTCTTGGTGTGCTGTGAGTGGTGGGGTCCCTCAAGGCTCTGTACTAGGGCCTATACTATTTAACATCTTTGTCGATGATGTGGACATTGGTGTCAGAAGAGGACTGGCCAAGTTTGCCCAGGACACCAAACTCTGGAGTAAAGCATCCACACCTGAGGACAGGAGGGTGATCCAGGAGGATCTGGACAGACTCATGAAATGTGCAGATGAGAACCTGGTGGTGCATAGGGCTTGGGGCCCAGGGCCATGTGCAGCTGCAGAGTTCAGGTGGGGAGTGCGAAAGAGTCATGGGCAGCTTCTCTAGGGGGAAGGGGAGGAGCTGGCTTCTGTTACTGTGCACATTCCCAGGGTTGTCAGGGTGGGCATGTGCCCCCCAGATTTGCAAGCAGGGTGGGGGCAGGCTGCCTGCTATAGGCTCAGGGCTTCCCTCTCTTCTGCCCTGCCCCCGAGGCCTCTGTGACCTAGCTGGCAGCAGTGGTGATGTGTAAGGGGGTCATGGGGGTGCACGTGCACCACCTGAGAATGCTGGTGCACCCCGTGACTGGCCACACTCCCCACTTAGGTTTTGGGTGGGGGGCAGATGGGAGCACTGGTGCTCCCCACTGCAAATGCTGGCATATCGCTGCAGTCACTCCCAGATGTGGCTGCAGTGATTTACTGCAGCAGGATCAGCCATGGGGGATCCCTTCTGCATCAATGGGACTGGTCACAGGGGAGGCATGTGCCCCCCCAACTAAGGGGGCAGCAGTCACCCATGGCAGGTGGGACCCAGTGTGGCAGAGCAGAAATTTCAGTGTTTTGTATAATTCATATATCATGCACACAATGCCATACACACACACACACACACACACACACACACACACACACACACACTAGCAACCCAGATACACACCCGTTCAAAATAACCAGTCTAGGTTCATGCACGCCTATCACCACTTTTAAGCCCATACACACTACACACACCAAATTCAGACAGAATCAGTTACCAACACCTGTACATCCAATACGTATAGTGGATTACCAACTCATATACCATACACACACTGTGATCACAGGGAGAATTCCATACAGCAAGGGGAATCACCCACTTGTCTGTTTCAAAGGATTTCTCGCACTCTCTAAGTTTACAAGCATATTTATACTTAAGACAGAGAAAGAGAAAAAAATACATCTTTGGAGAAACAAAACAATAGTAAATTACACAGACATTTAGAAAATTTACTTAAACAAACTATCTGTGCACAGGGCAATATATCAAGATAACCTAAGGATAACCCAAGTTATGCAGGATTTCTTATCTCAGAACATTTAACTGAAATAAGCAGTATCAGCCTTCTGGTCTCTGTTTATTTTTCTAGTCAAATAGGTCAGATACTCAACTAAATTACTCCTACAGTGTGTATTCACTAATTCACACACATACCACCCACCTACGCATCCACACAGGTGAGTTCCTAAGTTGGGCGTTGTGATGTGTACA